CGGTGCCGCAAGCTCGACGGCTTCCGCTGCTGGTCGACGGCGCGGCGCTCGATTGCGAGCTACCGCTACTGCAGAGGGTGACGGTGCCGCAAGCTCGACGGCTTCCGCTGCTGGTCGACGGCGCGGCGCTCGATTGCGAGCTACCGCTACTGCAGGGGGTGACGGTGCCGCAAGCTCGACGGCTTCCGCTGCTGGTCGACCGCGTGGCGCTAGATTGCGAGCTACCACGGGAGATATAGGAACTGCAGGCGCAACCTCCAGGTGTGGTGGAGTAGCAGCGCGGTGATGAGACGACGCTCGATTTCGAGCTACTGCAGGGGGTGCAGCGGCTGCAACTTGATGGTTATCTTCTCCTTCGACTTCTGATTCTTCCGACGACTGTATTTCTCGCTCATCTTCTTCATCTTGAAGGTGTGCGAATCTCAGGAATGGTCTTGCTCCGAATCTGTTTGGGTTGACGAAGAAATCGTCCTCCGAGTCTACGTCCGGAAAATGGTTTTCTTCAATACGTAAACGTCTTTCTGGAGGTCCGTCTAACAGTGGATGTAATCTTCTCCTCATTGTATACAAAACGCACAAAAAAAAAAAATGGAAAAAACTTTTTTTTTTTCGATTTCCCGGCTGATGCACCAAAAACGTTTCGACTCAAAAAGCTTAAAATCGAAAGGTAATGACGATTTTTTGGATGAGAAGATATTTTTTTTTTATTTTAAACAGATGAAAACGTGTAACAAGTGTAGAAAAAATAAAAGTAATAATATAAATTACAAAAATAAAAAATGTATAAGATAGTAGATAAATATATCTACAAAGATAGAAAAAATACCTTGGATAACATTATTGTTCGTGATTAGAAAATCGATAATCTTAAAGTCTGCATTTTTAAACAAAATTTTAGTCAGCTCTTAGGCCTACCTATGTCTGCATCACAAGGTACTCAATAGACAAAAATTTTGAAACATGCTTTGAATTTGATGAAAATGTTTTAAATGTTATAAGAAAAAGTTAAGCAGGTTACTGTTCATCAAGTTATAAGTATTGTCATACTATAGTTTAAGGATTTTTTCCATTTTATTTTATCTGTAACTAATAAAAATAGTTGTAGTATAAGATTGCATCACTAATGCAGAAAAGTTGATAAAATACGTGATATTCTCTGACAAATATAATTCAATTTATCATGAAAATGAAAACTGTTTTTTAAATAATTTGGAAACTCGCGTTACTTATAGCTATGATTGTTAATAAAATTTTGTGTGACAACTGTTTTGGAGAAAAACACTAAGAAAGCGCTAACAGAGAAAGTGCAAACATTAGAGAAAACTGTAAAAGTGGAGTATTAGTTTTCGCACAGTGGGCCTCTGACAACTATATGTTCAAGTGAGATAATATAACAATTTACAATAAAAACACTGAATAACAATAGAATTTTTAACTTTACTAGGGGGCTGCGCGCCATCCCCCAAAATCTAATCACACATTTATTTTCTATATAAGTACAAATTACTTTTCATTAATTTTTCAAAATCTTATTTTTAAATTTACCCGCGCTTGATCAGTCTCAGCCAATCACACAATAAATAAACATGCTTTATCACGGGACCCATCATTTTGTAAAAATATGATCAGAAAATACTGTTTCTTGATTTTTTCTGAAACTAGGGGGCCGCGCCCCCTGCGCGCCAACCCCCAAAATCTAATCACACATTTATTTTTAATATAAGTACAAATGACTTTTCACTGATTTTTCAAAATCTTATTTTCAAATTTACCCGCGCTCGATCAGTCTCAGCCAATCACATAACTCATAAACAGGCTTCATCACGTGACCCATCATTTTTTAAAGATAGGATCCAGAAAAATGTATCTTGATTTTTTTCGGAACCAAAGAGGCTGAGCCTCCTGCGCGCTCCGCGTGCCAACCTCCAAAATCTAATCACATATTTATTTTCTATATAAGTACAAATTACTTTTCACTGATTTTTCAAAATCTTATTTTCAAATTTACCCGCGCTTGATCAGTTTCAGCCAATCACACAACGAATAAACAGGCTTCATCACGCAACCCACCATTTTTTTCAGATAGGAAAATGCACTAATACCTCATTTTTAACAGTTACATTATCTATAGACAAGAGGACCTGTACAATTCAAGTCACGTACCTACCGAAATTTTTAAAAAATTTGCACACTTTTAGTTACAATTATGTTTTGGTGAATAAACTCGTATCACTGTACTATTTATATTTGCACAAGTTCTTGCTTATGTTGAGTTATAAATGACAAACACAGTTCATCTTAATACCGATGTTAGTCTAACTGGCGTACGAGAAGTGTACCCACTGCATTACATTATTTAATTACAGTTAGAAAAAAGTAATCTGTATTTGTATATTTAAAATTATCTGGATCTTTTGTATCTATAATTGTCATTGTCAAATTACAATAAATATAATACCAGTTGACAAAACGCTGCTGTAATTTAGTTGACAATTAGTCCCGAAGCATCAATCAAAGCCGATACGTATGTTGGATAATGTGGAGGGTAAGAACGATTTAGACCTTGTTACATTTATTTTGTATTTTTTAAAACTTTATCTCGAGAAACTGATATAAAAAATGAAAAATTACAATCATTTTTATTCTTCTTCCTTCGGTGTTTTTGAGAGGCTGGTGTGTCCTCGGTAGGAAAAATAGGATTCGCCACATAAGCGCAATCGCACTGCGGCTACCCTACGTTTCTCGGGCCCTGCTTCGTTGGTTTTTTGGGACGCAAAATAGCCCTGGAGACGATGTCGCGTATCCGACGAAAACTACTATTTTGTCAAACTCTCATTATGTATGAATAAAGTAGGTACATTGTCGTTTATTTCGAGATTGTTAAACTCACATGTGATAATCCTATGACTTATTTTATTACGCTACTAGAGCACAAAGTGACGCTTCATGCACATGGGTCCACTTTTCATCCGCCGAGTATTACTTAAAAAGCGCAAAGTGCGCTCAAGAACGTGCCTGAACAGAAATGAAAGTCGGTTGCCTCTCTATAGGCAGCCTATATAACCTACCCTTATCTTACTTCTCGAATAGTATATACAGTTGTATCAGCTACAGTTGCAGTGTAAACTGTAGCGTAAAATTATACACAGGTACACAAGTTACAAGTGTCTTTCATTGAGTCCTATACAAATGATTAATGAGTATTCTTATACATATGAGACTGACAAAATGAATCGACATTAAATTTTTTGTCAACTAAACAAAGTTTCTCAAAATACTAAATTAGAAATAATAATTGTTGCTTCAAAAAACTTCAATAAAAACTATTTAAAAACCGTACTAAGATTATGAAATTTAACATTTGACAGCTTGTACACTGTCATTTAGATGTCCGCCATCAAATCAAGTTAATCTGTCATTTAATTGAATCAATATGTTTTTGTATGAAAGAAAAGTAAACTGCAGTGAGAGCATTTAATTTATATTAATTTCTTGGTGATTATTCAATAGTTCCTCAGAATTAACGCATGAATCACATGTTCATATTGTAAACTTGATATCAATTGTGAATGAGATATTTTTAAGGTGACATTTATATCTTCATTTATATAAAATTTCTATTTATCTTAGGGTTATATTTTTGTGATCAACAATGCCGGGATGAAAAATTTTCATAAAGAAATTAAATATGATTTGTTTGAAATGAAGCATGACTTTTGTTTAATTATGATACAATGTGTATTTTCATATATCCATGTCTATATTTATCGATGAAAGGTGGTTATGTTTCGTCAATGGAGGCAGCCTACTTAGGGCCTACCAAACGCCACCTGACGCTGCCAACCTCAGTGGCCTCAGTTGGCAAGAGAGGCATCCTAAGTAGGCCCTACCTACTGATCGCCTACTTACAATTTCCGTTCGGGTGGAAGCCTGCACTTGAGTCGCATATTTTATTTTTCTCTTTCAGGTCGCAAAAGTCGTATTGTGTCTGGTTCATAGTTAATTTAATAGAAGAGTTTAATTATCTCATTAAAATCACACAAGTATTTATGAAAATGTATGTATTATGTATAAAAAGCTTTCCTTAGGCATAAATAATCTAAATAATTAGTATTTGCAATCATAATAACCATCCAACATATCATAAGGATAGTCCAGATATCACTCAAATTCTCCAGCTATAAATAGCGTTGTATTGCCTTGTGTAATTAACTAACATTATTCATTAAACAATAACTTATCCCTTTGTAAAAAAAACAGGTCAACATAAGTTGATCAAGTATCAGAGAAAAAAATCAAATTCAAGGCCATGTTAATTGATTGTTTACTTACAGAGAAAAATGGGAATGGGTATTTTTTTGGCATCTTTTTTATAAAATTATACTTATTCTTTTTCGCAAATTTTTAATCATCTTACATAAATCTTAGTTTGATACGTTATGTGTAAAGTAAATCAAGTCAGTAAATATGGTTGGTAAGTTGCAGCATTTCAATGTTATCTGCAAATTGCCTCTAGTATGCGAATGAAAAATAGTAGTGGGTGAATAAAACCAGTAATAGGTGACATGGGTCACCAGGTGTGAAAAGAATCATTGCTTGGTTGTATTGAAGACTTAATCAGAGAAAAATAGAAAAAAAAAATCTTTTTAAGTATAAGCAAAAATTAATTTTACCTAAACAAAGTTTCGCATTAAATATTGTGCAGGGACCAGGAGATAGAGCCCCCGGTGGAGGATAGAAAAGGCGAAGCCCCTTACTACAAAAAAATGAAATCATCGTTCATAAAAAAAAGTTTATATCTATTTTCTCAAAAAAAAAAAAAAAAATAAACTCGATGGAATTAGAGTATTTGAATTTTTGAAAATATTAGTATACAAAACCAATTTCATAAAATCATCGGATATTGTACCAAAAATGTTTAAAAAAATGTTTAAAAGACAGCACACGAGACGTGTATTGTAGAACTCTACAATTTTCTGTGTGAATCATATACGGTCCATAGTTGCACCACCATGTTCGAAAATTACCATCCATACCTCACTTTTCATCCGAAAGGAGGATAATCAATCATTTACTAAAGGGGTAAGTTCCTAACACAGAAAAAAACATTGATACAATTATCAAAGTACATATCGTAGTTACTGAGCTGCGAGTATAATGTTTTGACAAATAGCAATGTTTACATTATAATATTAATTTTATTACATATATAACAAAAGTAATGTTATTACATTAAGTGATCTCTTAATTCTACATAAAAATTTAAGCATTCATATGTGCGTGAAAAAAATTAAAACTGTTAGATTCTGCAGTGCTTTTTCTAAAGTTTAAAGTTCATAACTTATTTATATGCATAAGCAGGGACTTTTTGTCCTGAATTTTTAGACCTTTTATTGATCAACTCGGATTGGTGAGCTTTTTTTCCTCCGGGCGTTTTGTTAGTTATTACGTTCAAACTCCCTAATCACGTAATTAATTTTCCTAATAGTAGCTTTGGTTAGTTCATCCGTAATCTCGTAATAAAAAGCTAGCCTCGCTAGGCAGCTGCTGAGCGCCAGCCCCCTCACAACGATCCTGTCGTCATCATCAGCCTCGTTCTTTACACACTGAAGCCGTGCCACAAAGTCCCTCGCCGACACCTTGCTCTTCCCATTGACTCCATCTGCAGAAACCTTTATCATGATCATATTCGAGTGAGTAACCCCAAGATCGACCGAAAAAATCCTCGATCCCGTTGCGTTGATTGCCTTGGCGATCTCGCTCGCCCTCCTGTGGTCGTCCCTCAGCAGAGGCACCATCTCGTCAAGAGCAAATATACCTGCAGCGGCGAGCACGCCTACCTGCCTCATCCCGCCACCGAGGACCTTGCGTGCCCTCCTGGCTCGCCTGATAAAATCAGCTGATCCACAAAGTACCGATCCGGCGGGCGCGGCCAATCCTTTGCTCAGACAAAAGGTCACCGAGTCGAAGGGCCGGGCAAGCTCGCAAGCCGGCCGGCCGGAGGCAACGCTCGCGTTCCATAGCCGCGCGCCATCTAGGTGCAGTTTGAGATTGTGCCTGTGGACAAGCTGCTCAAGCTGGTTTATCCACTCTTGGGGCACCAAGCGACCATTTATCGTGTTTTCCACTGCCACCAGACAGGATATAGGTTCGTGTAACCAATTGCTCCGCAGCTTCGACTCGAGGTCAATTAGGCTGAATGTACCGTCCGGTCGGTTAGGTAGGCTGCAGACGGTCACACCGGCGATCTGAGCGGCACCGCCTTGCTCGTGGTTCACTATGTGAGACTCAGATCCGCAGTAAATCTCGCAGCCTCGGGTGTCGCAGTGGATCATTACTGAAACAATTTTATATTTTTTAAAGAATTAGAATGATACCACATTTTCATTTCCTGTGAAATAAAATAAGATTTTTGGTATATATTTCAATTTCTATATACCTATAAGTAATATTGTATCAGTTAGAAATATTGTATTTTTCAAATTACATAAAAAACAGTTTCTTACTCTATTTGAATCTGATGGGCCAAATACCCCAAAATGATTTTTTAAAATTACATTTAAGGGTCCTAGAATGTTATAAACCTTAAAACACTTGCAGGCAACGACAATTTATGCTTGCATTTTCCGTAAGATGTTTTGATGAAGTCGAATAATCCGTATTATTTGAGGTACCAATCTTTTCAAAACCGTATGTTTTGTAATATTCATTTTATATTGCTTTATGCTCTGTAAAAGTTTTTTTTTCGTTAGTAACGTCATTAAATAGTACTTTTTCCCCAAGAGTCCCTGTTAAAACTGAAATTTTTTTTTAATTTTTTCTACGATTTTAATCAATGACCTTATCGGCCATCGTAACAAAGAATTCATCGTAAATTTATAAACATTTTCTCAAAATTTTATTTGATTTTGATGACAAGTAAGTATTTTCTCGTTAATTTATTTTTTAACGAGTGTTAAAATTTTGTTTTTTCTCAACGCAATACCTCAATCTATTTTATACGTTAAAAAAAATATTGGTTGGACCAGTAAGACTTTTGAAACCGATAAAAGTACTACTCTAAATGATGCAGTATATGAGATAAGTGATAAATAATCTGCTGTTGTGTCTCATCGTCAAATCAGTTCGTAATTTGCATCGTTGACTCAGAATTTATGCACTTATTTAAAAAAGGTTAAAAAAAATGAAGTACCGGAAATTAAATTTCCCATCGTTCCGCTTGAAACGAACAGCGCCGCCTCTTTACCCAGCAACTTGGCAGCCTTCTCCTCGAGACCTGTTTAACAAAAATATATTATTATATAAGAACCAAAAGACCAGTTTCCCGAGCTAGAGTTTCACAAGATACCAAAATGTGTTTTTGATGTTGTCTTGCTTTTTGAGACACTAGTCATATACTTTTCCGTGCTCGTTTCTATACTTTAATACAATACCAATGTAAAGTAATTATTAATATTGGTCTTCAGTATTTTCAATTGTAACGACTGTTTCGTCTTGAAAAAAAATTTATTCATACTTTCTGATTTCTAATATTACAGTGAGGCATAATAATAATATCCAAAAATTCTATTAACGATGATATGTCATTCTAGACAATAAAACGACTTTACAAAGACTTTAAAACAATAAAAACTATGGAAATCGATCAGTCATTTGAAAAAATTGTTATTCAAATGTGTAAGTTTACAAAGTATTAAAAATACAGATAAAAAGTATGTGTCATCCGAAAAAAAACTGTGAGCTATTTCTATGCATAAGATCATAATTATACAGTAGTAGTTTTCATTGGTTAATCTCAAAATTCCTCAAATATGTATATTGTAATACAGTTGACTCACAATACTTTCTGAGTAATTATTGAATAAATTTATTGCTGGAATATAATTTTTAAAGACTTGCGTGAGCTGACTGTCCGCAAAAAATGACATGTGGTCATACTTTCTTAATGGACTCGTGGATATACGAAACACACAACTAAAATCTAATTGACAGTATTTTTTAAATAATTGTTAATAATAAGATGAAAAGTTTATTGCTAATTTAAGTGTTTTTCAATGGTATCTAACTGCAACTTGATTCAAGATTTAAGTATTACTGACCATATAATTTAAAAAATCTGTAACTCAAACATCATTTCATGAGGGAATAAGAAAATTTTGTTTTTTATTCAATATCACATGAACAACCACCTAAAACAATTAGTTGATGGCAATAGATTTGAAAATGAAAATTTCAACCCTATAGATTCAAGACTAGACAAGACTCGTACAGACATACTTTACGACAGGGTCAGCTATTTTTTATCAAAAATTTTTCAAAATTAAAAAAAATTTTTATAAATATTGGCTTATCTGAGTTCTCGTGAAACTTCATACATATATGCTGACCTTCGTTTGTGCATTACTTACGTTTGACAGTCGGATCCTCCTCGAAAACGTCATCGCCAACTTCGGCGTCGAACATAGCCTGCCTCATTGCCAATGGAGGCTTACTGATGGTGTCGCTCCGCAGATCCACAATAAGTGCCTATACCATTTGGTAGTGAAAAAATACATACACTATTACTCTATCCTCTGATTTGAAAATTCGAAACAAATTTTACATTTAATAAAAAAAAAAAAAAAAAAAAACAATGTTTTTTCTCATTTTGCTTGGTTAATCAGGCATGGATTATGTAAAAACATTGGTTTGCACGTATATAAAAACTGATGAATACAAATTCACGCTAATGGGCCTAATTGGTTTGGTTCATGAAAACATCCAGCCGTGTCAGTTAAATTTAATTGAAAGTAGTGTATCTTTTTGTAATGTTCAGAAGTTGTGTAATGTTTTGTAAAGTTCAAAGCAATAATTTTAAACAAAAACTCGAGGAAGATAACGGCTTCAAAAACCAGTCAAAAGAGCGTGAAAAATTACTTGAGAGTAACAAAAAAATGAGGTGCGACCAGCACATAGCAAACACGATTCTTATTGTTTCTTTTTCAATGGCTTCTTCACGGCGATTCGTTTTTTTCCTCTCGGTGCTCATATTTTTAAATCGTATGCGTTTTAAAATATTTCGCGTAGTTTTTTTCGTTTAACTGCAGCGCTGAAATTTTTTTCTTTTTTTCTTTTCTCGCCAGTTCGTGGAAAATGTTTATTATTTGGTTGGCATTTCATTTCGAGAGAATAGCAGAAAAATTAAAAAATGCGCTAAAAATGTGTACAACGCACATCACAAAGTCTCAATAAGTACAATATCCCGATGAAAAAATCAAAACGACATTATTAAACCTGCACGAGTACCATAAATTGTTTTATTTTATCATATTTCAAATACTTATTGTTCTTAATAGTTTTTATCCTGATTTTTTCATTGCTTACGTATTTTTTATGTCACCATACTCACAATGGGTATAAATTCAGCACTAACCTTCGTCTCTAGCGCATGTTTCTTAATCTCCTCTGACGGTCTTTGCCCGTACATCATTAAATTGAAATAACTCAGGATATTCATACCTGCGAGGAAAAAAAAAATTGCTTACAGTTTGGGCTAAAAAAATGTCTTGCACTTGCACTCTCAATTGCTAGCAACTTTCGTACTGTTCGAGTCAAATACACATGAGCGTCACGTCCAAACACTCGCAGCGCTATCAGTGCTATACGGATTTGCAGTGGAGTGGGAACATCCCATACTCTGTAAGCACTTTTGTTCATTTATTTTCAAAATCTGTTGATGTACGCACGGTTGTAATGTAAGCACTTGATCGTTTAACGCTCAAATAGCTCAAGTGCATTTTTTCATTTTTATGATCGTTTGTTGAAAAAAAAAAAAAAAAACATGCTCAAGTCTTTTGAAAGTAAACCTATGAAAGAGTTTCAAATCTGTGAGCGATAAAATTTAAGGATTAAGTTAAAAAAAAACTTGGATTTATAGTTTAAAGAAGTAAGTGATTGATTTTTCTCTCACAGTTTTTAAACGATTGAAGGTGCTTGCAGTATTATGTATTTGAAATACGTTTTGTAATAAAACACTTGAATTATTTTTAATTTTTTAATCTGAAGTATTAAACTCCGTAAGTGCAAAGTATATATTGTAACATGCTTTGAGCGTTTTTTTTTTTTTCTTTGACACACTAAAAATATGTATACTTGAAGCTTAACTTTTTTGGTTATTATTATTATTTTCATTTTTTTTGCGTAGCAAAACAGTTTCACAGTGAAATAAAGAAATGCACAAATATATGTTTCAATGTTTGAAATAAGTAAACGTTTACTTTCATATTAAAATTGCGTCATAGCCGAATGAGCACATACGAGCAAAATCGAAGTAATCAACTCTCGGAGACACAAAAACACATCATCGTTTCGGAGGATTATTACTCAGAGTAGGTGAATCATTTGTTAATAGCTTTTTTAATCACAATCAACATATTTTTTGTTGGAGAAGAAAGTGCAAATTCGTAGGAAAATGCTTTTTTGGAGTAAAAAAAAAATAACATGCAAGCACACTATTAAAAATTTAAAGTATAACCATCATCTGGTAACGCTAGAATTGGGAATATGACTTTGGATTTATTATTAAACCTGACAAATTGTATTTGAACATATTTTATAAGTAGAAAAAAATCACCAATATTATTCTTTTGTATTCATAATGGGAAAAAATAACTAATTTGACAATAACTTTTGTTACGTACACGTTAGAAGACAATGTTATGTATCTAGATCAAATCGAAATTTTTGTATTGTGTGTTACATGGCCATTTGTAATATACATGTATACAGTAGAAAGCAGATAGAGCAAAGAGATACAAATAAGGGGGAGAGCAGGTAACTATTAATTAAAAATTGTGAAAATGGAGGGCGATATATGGCCAAATCAGGATCTAATTTTTCAAAATTTAAGTTAAATACGAAAGTGTTAGACCATAAAGTAGTATATATTTTTCAAAAATTGAACAATTATTCAACATCTCTCAATTTTGGCGTTTACCTATATTTTCATTGTGTCTGTAAATATGTGAGTAATTAAATCATAACACTGATACACGCAATGAAAAAATAAAATCACCGTAGACATTAAAATCTGAGTTGATAACATTTTTATTTTTTCAGTTATAGAATCATCATTTGAGTAAAAAAAAGCAGTTTTACTAACATAAGTTAATAGGATTTTCCATCGACCTTTCTACATTTTGAACAGAATCTATTCGAAGTGAGCCACGACTACTAGCGCCGAAGAGCCCGTATAAAAGTAAATAAAGTGGCTAAAGTTGAAACTACAACCTTAACCATTTCACGTGTTTAAATCAAAAGCGCGAGAATTGAGGTGCCATTCTATAATGTAAAAAAGCATCATGTGGCAATAACTGAAACTAAAACCTTATCCACGGGGCCCACCTCGAATATGTTTCAATACCCAGGCATGAAGTTTTTGAGGTTATGTTTCTAACTGTATGGGTGTTAATACAATAAAAAGGTAATTTTTTTCAAAAGAAATCGACGATCAAGTAGGTGTCCGTAATATTGGGTGCTGTAATTTAACACGATTAAAATACTATGTGCTTTATAATATTGTAATCGTTTTATATTAAATTTTTTCGAGATAAAATCGAGTATTGTCAGTTGTTTTAATAACTATTCCAACCATCAGGATGTAACTTTTAAATTATTTCTTAACTGGTAATTTTTAATTATTAGTCGTGCCAGCACCCAGCTAACACATGCACATACGTAATGACACAACCTTTGATTCACTTAAATCATAATTTTAATCAAGCTTACACGACTTTTTCTACTTCACAACAACGAAAATGTGACTTATCACGTGATTGTAAACAATATATGTATAAATTTTTTTTTTTTTTTAACGAAAAGTGCTTTATTTTATAATGTACACAAGAATTTGGTGTTTAAAAAATTCAAGGGTTTGATTTTTTTATACGAATAGAGTGACTAAAAGTTAGTATCAAAATTCTAAATGGATACCTGAATGGAATTCAATACTATTAAAAAAACCTTGGGTAAAGAGAACAAAGCAATTTGAACACTGTAGAGTTAAATAATAACCCAAAAGAGCTTTCGTCTTCGTGGTTAATTAAATATAAAATTATATTTATATCTTGATAAACAATCACGCATGTTTTTGTTGTATAAAAAAGATTTTTTTTTCAATAATCACGTTGAAAAGATTATATTCCTTCTTATTTACGATACATCATATTTATGTTTTTTAATTCAAGTGCAAAAGCCATCTTAAACTTGACACTTTCTTAATCAACTTAACTAATAATTATTGTGAGTTATTTTACTCGCATTTTCTACACGCCTAACTCAAGCTTATTTCAGATTGTCAAAGCATTAGAGACGGTTCAACCAGAAGTTGATGATAAAATCCTCATTACCGAAGAGAAATCAAAAAATACTTGAGATAAGAAATTTTTTTTTCATAACGAGCAGTGATAAATCGTGAAAGCGATGCGATATGAAATATCAAGTAAGTTTCTAAAAAACATTTACCTCCTTAACTCTAGTAACTATCGAAAGTTATTTTTAAAGCCCAACATTAGATACAGAAATTTTTTTTTTTTTTTATACCCTTCGGTATTTTAGATTACTTGTACTCACAGTCCAAAGCCTGGATCTAGTGTGACAGAAATAAATAACTTTCATGTAACACATCAATTTTTAGAGTCGATTAAGCTTTTTTTTTTTTTTTATAAATCCCAAGAACCCGATCGAAACTGTTATGACTCATGAAAAAAGTTGTCGAACAATATTTATTGTTCATCGGTGGTTATCATAAAAAAATTGAATCGGAAGAAAAATGGATTTTCCCCGTCCGTAAACACATCAATCAATTGCTTTACGAAACCTCTCAAAGTCATTACTTACAGGAAATTGTAAATAAAATAAGTGATTGATTTTTCTCTCACAGTTTTTAAACGATTGAAGGTGCTTGCAGTATTATGTATTTGAAATACGTTTTGTAATAAAACACTTGAATTATTTTTAATTTTTTAATCTGAAGTATTAAACTCCGTAAGTGCAAAGTATATATTGTAACATGCTTTGAGCGTTTTTTTTTTTTTCTTTGACACACTAAAAATATGTATACTTGAAGCTTAACTTTTTTGGTTATTATTATTATTTTCATTTTTTTTGCGTAGCAAAACAGTTTCACAGTGAAATAAAGAAATGCACAAATATATGTTTCAATGTTTGAAATAAGTAAACGTTTACTTTCATATTAAAATTGCGTCATAGCCGAATGAGCACATACGAGCAAAATCGAAGTAATCAACTCTCGGAGACACAAAAACACATCATCGTTTCGGAGGATTATTACTCAGAGTAGGTGAATCATTTGTTAATAGCTTTTTTAATCACAATCAACATATTTTTTGTTGGAGAAGAAAGTGCAAATTCGTAGGAAAATGCTTTTTTGGAGTAAAAAAAAAATAACATGCAAGCACACTATTAAAAATTTAAAGTATAAC